ATGGCCCGCAGTGATGCTGGCAACATGATGTTCCCTGTTAGCTGGAAGGAAATGAGAGATCCGGTCACTGGAACTAGTGAGCAGAGGAAGGTCGCCAGACCATTCTGAGAACATGCAATTGTTTGAACTCGGTCCCTCTCCTTGCGTGGCCTTCGGCCTTCTCCTTGAATGGCCAATGGGCTACCTCTACTGTTACCTGGCCACATAGTGCCTCAACAAACAACAACCAAGCAGACTCTACCCCCGTCTACCTAGATGTCGGTGGCAGATCCCCTCATCCCCCGACAGAATTGTCTTTCAACCTCCGGGATCCACGGGTGTCAAAAAAACCACACCCCCCAACCCTCACTGCGAGGAATGCCTTTCAAGCCCCCACACTTGTTCCATGCTCTCAGGCAGCAGCATCCCGCTTGAACATGACGACTTTCATGTTTCACGAATCTAGGAAACGCCCGCCGTTTGACTCGATCCAATGACGCCAACGTGTATTCCTGGACATGTGTATTATTGACATGGATAACGATTTCAGAATAAAGATACCCAACGGAGACATGATTGAAAAATCCATGTCATTTCCGCCCTTCCTTTTCCTTCGATCCTCGATCACAGTCTACCATCCTGTGGTCGCTTTCCCCCTCGCTCTTCTTTCCGAGTAGAGAGGCCTCACCGCCACTACACGTAGACCCTACTGGGTAACCCTCCTTAGTATACACGGTCGAGACCTATGCCATGTCGGACTGTGTTTGTCAAGTGAGGGAGATTGAAGTTTTTCTTTGAAGAACACGCGGAGGACTCTCATCTTCTGTGAACCTCCAATTATTCATCTGTCGTGTCCAAGTCTACTCAGTGCGACTTGACAGATGTTTTCGGAGTGACATCCTAAACACATGTATCCTACATATCCATAATTAATCCTACAAAAAAAAAAAAAAAAAAATCCCCAAATGAAATGCAAATAAATCTCCCATTTTGAACTTTGAACTCTCATCGGAGTAAATTGTACATCCGACCTTACTTCTTCAAGGTCTTCTGCTTCTCAGCATCAATCAACTTCCGTCCCTGAACAACCAATCCCTTACGACTGCGCACAGCATCCATATACCGCTTAGCAACATTCTGCTTATCGGCAAGCTCACCCAGATCCTCAAGTTCTTCCTCGGTAGCAGGTACCCAGAACGGATCCTCGTCGAGAGCCTCGAAGCCCGCGAAGATCAGTTGTGGTTGTGCGGCGCCGGATGTCCGCTTGCGAATCTCCTCAGCGAATCCGAAGGACTCGGCTACGGGGAGGAGAGCGAGAATCGTGAAGAACGGAGTGCCTTCTTTCATGATTTCGGAGAGAATTCGGCCTCGGCGGCGGGTTATTACTGCATAGACACGGCCTAGGACCTCGGCTTTGGGGGTGAAGATGGTGTGTTAGTTGTGGGTTTGTTGTTTGTGTATGGTGGATGGGATGGTGCGAAGGTATATTAGGTAGTAAGTAGGAAGGGAAAGGAATGAAATACTTACTGGTAGCTTGGATCTCGCAACTGTACATTGCGAGCATGATGCGAGGACTCCAGTCCAAGAAACCAGCTGAGATACCTTCACGGACCAGTCTGATTGATTCGCCTGTCAACCGGCCCATGTCAAGCTCATCGCCTGCGCTGGACTGCACAGATAGGTCCTCCAAGAACACGGCCACGCCTTGCATGGGCTCCTGGCATAGGGGGCCTTGGCCCGTTGCGAGCTGGAAGGCATATGCGATCTTGTCGTTGAAGTCACGCACGAGTAGTGCTTGGTGGTTATCACCGTCGATCTGTTGCTTGGTGTCTTCGATCAAGCTAGAAAGGATATGTTAGATATGAACGATAGACACAGTGCTGTTTGGACCGCTATACTCACAATTTCTCGCAGGTGTTGACTGCAGTTGCATCAACGAGAATGTTGGGGCCGACTCTCCGAGGTCCGAAAGCGGTGATTCTGTTGACGACGTTCTTCCATAGCTCCTTATCTTCCTTGACCTCCTCGTTGAACAACTTATCTAGCCCTTCGCGGAACTCCTGCTTGGAGAGAATGTGACCTTCAGGCGCCTCGCCAGTACCGTCAACGGCAGCTTCGGCTTCCTTGTCAGTCTCAGTCTTGCCTTCAGCCTCTGTGCGCTTCTCCGATTGGAGCTGCTTGATAGTTCCGACTTGTTTAGTCAGGAATTCCGTCACGGCCTCTGGCATCGGAACCACACGCAGACGCAGGGTCATTTGCTTGGAAGCGGAAACAGTTAGAACGGCTCCACGTCCAAGGTCGGGGTTCTTGGGCACGGCCATCTCGGGGCCATGAACAATAGTTTCACGGTAGGGGACGATAGCCTCGCCGGTCTGGATTTCACAACGGGCGAAACGCTCGCGCAGATCCGTCACACAACGCTCCAAGTGCAGTTCACCTGCTGTGAGGATAACGTGTTCACCACTAGGTAGCACCTCGTACTGCGCACAAGGATCACTCTGTTCTAGCAAGCGCAAGCCAGTGACCATTTTGCTCAGGTCTGCTGGGTTGACTGGCTCCAGCGCAACTCGGACGATGGGCGGCATGCTCAGCGAAACACCTGCCAAGTTGATACTTCCATCCAGCCTGCTGCAAAGAGTACCTGTCTTCAAGACGTGGCCTGCAAGACCTCCAATTCCGAATACCACACCAGCTGGTACGGACTTGAGGGGTTCAAGAGCTCTGCCCATCATCAGGTACAGATCTGTGACTACGACCTTCTTTGGCTCCGGACTGGCGTGCGGGTGGGCTGGAGAGAACTTGGGCGGGAGAACATAGATCTCATCTCCAACTGAAAGGGTTCCGGAATAGAGTCTGGCGAAACCAATAAGGTGGTCGGGGTCGTCCTTCTCCACTGGCTCTTCTGGCTCCTCCGTCGTCTCGGTAATCAATGAGGTAGTTTCGAAGATTGAGGTCATGCGCTCAAAGTCATCTTCTTGTCCATTACTGCGGGCTTCCGCCTGCATCTTTGCAATCTCCTCCCGCTTGCGACGCGCAAGTTCAAGGGCTTCGGCCGCAGTCATGGCACCTTCGCTACGCTTCTTGTTAGACAGAAGCTCGCTCTCCGGGATGGCAACCATCTTGCTGACGTATGCCACGACGGGAACTTCAGGTCCTGTCTTGAAATCCACCATGGCAGTCTTGATATCATCAGCAATGAAAGCAGCGCCAGGGGATGTTTTGATCATTTCCGGTAGTCGGGCGGCTTGCGCAGCGGGAGGACTGGGGAGATATTCAATGACGGATACCAGTAGCGCAGTAGATAGTGGTAGCCATTGAGAGAACAGCGTATTCATAATGTTCCTGGGATCACGTCCGCGCAAGACATAGACCGGAATATTAATGTTGAGCGATTTGGTGATCTTCTCCAGCAACACCGGGTCACTAGTAAATGTCAATATCAGCGTTAACACAATAGTTTCATTCATTGTCAACTTACCCTTTGCCCTTATCACCACCAGTAGTAGCTTGATAAGCTGCCCAAATGCTATCCAAAACCAATTGAACGAACATGGGCTTCAAAGCACGTCCCTTCAGGTGCTTCACGCCCAAGACGCGCTTAGTCTTAGGGTCTAGATAATAATCTCCCCAAAGCACTTTCTCCAGAACTGTTCGTTTGATTCCGAGTTTCTTCTCGTAAATAGCGGCAAATTGCCGGATTGTGAAAGCCCAGCCATCGACGGCACTGCAGAAGATGACGTTATTTTTCTCAGGTGCGAAATAAAGATCCTCATCGTCGCGCTCCTCAAATTCAGTTCCCTCGGTAATGCTTTGTGCAGATTCATCGTCTACCGATGACTTTTTGTTTTCTTGGTCCCGATTTGCTGCAGCATTGAGACGGTCCTCCATACGCTCACGCCACTGCAAATCTTCTTCCATGCGTTCACCCTGGTAGAAACTACCGATGACAGCATTGACCTGTTCCAACAGTCGACTAAGATGGGAGAAAGCCTCGGCGGGACTCATCTTCAGCTCTGTTACCAAGCGGTCCATCTTATTAATAACTAGGATCGGCTTCAACTGCTCGACCCAAGTCTGCCGCAGGACTGTCACGGTTTGACTACAGACACCCTCGACTGCGTCAACGAGCACAACTGCACCGTCACAAAGACGAGATGCGGTTGAGACCTCGCTGCTGAAATCGATATGACCAGGCGAATCGATAAGGTTAATCAGATATTCCTTCTGCACTGGGTCTGCGTCCGGGCTTGGACGGCGGAGCATCGAGAAGAACAGTGAGATAGCAGAGGACTCCATGGTAATACCTCGAAGCTGCTCATCTGGACGAGAGTCCAGGTAGCGGATCTTACCGGCCAGCTTGGGTGAAATAATGCCATTTGTGGCAATAAGACTATCCGTTAAAGATGTCTTGCCGTGATCCTAAAAATGCAAAAAAAGAAAAGGCGATGAGCATTTGAAAGCGAACAAAATTCCGTGTGCATTTCTTTGACTTACAACGTGGGCCAAAATGCAGATCTGGTGGCTTGAGATTAGTATAAAGTCCTGACATCAGACATCAAAGTGGGATGGAGGGGCACACGCACATTTCTTATGTCCTCGGGCTTCCGCTGTAAGCGGACCAGCTGGTCGACATTAACAACAGGCATCTTGGCAGATATTAAGACCAAGAGCAGGTTGTTTGTAAAATGAATGGAAGGCGAACTGGATCCCGTGAGAAGAAAAAAAGTTGCAAAAAAAAGTTGCTGATAAAGATGCGCCCTTGGCCCAGACCTTCAACAACACTTCAATTATTATTTCACTTGGACTTTTTAAGCTGGGCGGGTTTATATCTTATAGACTGAATACTGTCATTACTACCTATGTATTTTTCTATATGATGGCATCAACCTTGGCAGTCTCTAATCCTATGACGGTATACTGTTCTATTGACTCATCGTGAGTCCTCAAAGAGTTGCACTGAGTCAAATGTTCACGAACTAGAACCTGGCGCAAATACTCCAATTCCCAGCCCTGATAGACTCTTATTCCTCGTCGAACGAGAGCTTGATCTTCTTGGGCTTCTTGGATTTCTTCGAAGTCGCCTTCGGCGGGACTTCTTCAACTTCGGCCTTGTCCTCACCCACCACTTTGGCCTGTTTTCGTTTCCTCTGGCCTCCGACTTCGGTGAGATTGTTCTGTTTGCTGGTGGAAAGTTCTGCTTGGGATTTGTCTTGATTGCCAGAGGAGTTGTCCTTCGCTGAATCTCCAGCCTCGCCCTCTCCTTTCGGGCTGTTTTCACCAACCAGTGCCTTGTATTCCTCTTTGGAGATCACTTCGTTACTTTATTCATCGATATAGGTAGGTTCGTCGTCATCGTCATCCTTATTGACCTTAAGTCTGGTCGGTCTCAAGGCAGGCCGCTCCAAGCGACCGGTGTTGTCTCCATACTGGCCCCGGAGTTTCTGGAGAAATGCAGGCTGCTTTGCATCTGTATAACATGTCAGAACAACATCGGGCACGTGAGAAAGGTGTGAAGCGACATACCATATTCAAACTTTGGGTTCTTAGGCATGGTGGTAATGCTGTATTTGCTTGCTAGCTTTCATGTAAAGCTTTGTACTTGTGCTGCCCTGTGCCTATTTTGTAGATCATTGAGGAAAATCCATTTTGTTCAATTCAAAACGTATAGACAGATTATCTCTTTTGTGCAAAAGCAAGAATTGGAGAATTGCGAAAGTCGATAGCTGCTGGCCTTTACAGCGAGATATTGCGACCATCCAGATTCTAGATCTGATTGGCTCATTGGCCTCACCGTCTCCTTCTCCGCCTTTCCATGCCCCTCATATTACAGTGGAACACCCTCTTTATTTTCTGCCGGACAATTGGCTCTGGACTTACGTCACTGCTGGTCGCAATACTCCGCCCTATTATACCGCCCTCAGCTCATGGCGCTAAACCGCAATAGGACACATCGAAAAGTCCAAGGAGCCGCTCTGCATCAAGACCTCTCCATCAACCCTCATCAACCAATCTCAATTAACTATGCTTTGTGCTAGTGAGTGCCCTACTATTAATTGCAATTCTGTGCTCTTCTTTGAAATAAGTTTCCTAACTCACCTTTTCTCACAGTCTCCGGAGAAGCACCTCAAGTGCCCGTCGTCTCTACCAAGAGCGGTAAGTCTTCAATCTTTGCGCGCACGACATCCATCTCATAATTAAACAGGCAGCGTATTTGAAAAACGCCTCATTGAGGCATACATTGCCGAGCATGGCAAGGATCCCGTGAACGGCGAGGAGCTTACCACCGACGATCTGATCGATCTCAAGTCGCAGCGCGTTGTCCGACCCCGACCCCCTACCCTCACATCTATCCCGTCTCTTCTCGGCGTTTTCCAAGAAGAATGGGATGCCTTGGCCCTGGAAACATTCACTTTGCAGCAAAATCTGGCACAGACAAGACGCGAGCTAAGTTCGGCGCTCTATCAGCACGATGCCGCGGTGCGGGTGATCGCGCGCCTGACGCAAGAGAGGGATGAGGCTCGGGAGGCGCTTTCGAACGTGTCTGTTGGTGCCACTCGCGCTGGAGGAGAGGCTATGCAAGTGGACTCCACGGGCTTGCCCCAGGCAGTATTGGAACGGATTGAGAACACACAGGCAGCGTACGTGGAACTGGTGCTTCTATATTACATTTTTCGATCGATTGCTAACTATTAGACAGACTACAAAAGACCCGGCGTAAGCGCGCAATCCCTGAGGGCTGGGCCTCAAGTGAGGCTATTTCCACATTTAAACCAACTGAGACCTCCGAACCTCTCTACCCCGGTGGCCGTGCTTTGTCTATCAACACGACTGGTGACCTGGCTCTTGTTGGTGGTGTTGACGGTGTGGTTGGTGTCTACTCGCTCTCCCAGAAGACTGTGGTGCAGACTCTCAAGACAGATGGCCCAGTCACCGATGCGGCATGGGCAGGAGACAAGGCCGTTGTTGGCTCTTCTACCGGCTCCGTCAAGGTCTTTGAGAACGGTGCTGAAGTTTCAAGCTTCGCCTCCCACGCCGGTGAGGTGACAGCCGTCGCAGTTCACGCTACTGGTGATATTATTGCTTCTGTTGGTGTTGATAAGAGTTATGTGCTTTATGATCTCGCCACAAACACTGTGGTTTCCCAGATTTTCTCTGATGCAGGTAAGAAGCCACTCTACAAAACACATACGCAAGCGCGATGCTAATCACTTTTATTCAGCCCTGCTCTCTGTCAGCTTCCACCCCGATGGTCACTTGATCGCGGCCGGTGGCGCAGACGGACATGTCAAGATCTTCGATGTCAAGACGGGCGCCGCTGCTGCGGACTATGCCATGTCTGGCCCCGTCAAATGCCTGTTCTTCTCTGAGAACGGTACTTACCTGGCTGCAGTGGCCGCGCAATCCACTACTGTATCGATCTGGGATCTTCGCAGCTCCAAGGAAACCAAGGTACTGGACACTGGAAGCCAGGTTGAGTCGATTTTCTGGGATTACACTGGTCAATTCCTCTTGACTGGTGGCCCCAGTGGAGTGACTGTCCAGCAATTCTCCAAGGCATCCAAGGGGTGGTCAGAGCCTCTGCGGAGTGCAATCCCTGCTACATCAGTTGCTTGGGGATCCGCTGCTCAGAGCATTGTGGCATTGAATGAGGCAGGTGTGGTCACAGTGCTGGCGGCACAGTCATGATTCCCAGGAAAATACTGTAATACTAGAGCATGCTATCTTTTGAATTCTCAATGGTGTTTGTTTTGAAACTGCAGCTCTTAATGCAACTATGTTCACAGACAGTGGATCCATGCCTAGGTGTATATTCAAAATTCACATGTAAACTTAGTCATGAATGAAAAGCCTCCAGGGCTGATTATGAATTCATATCTTTTATTTGCTCCAATCTTACTATAAAACCTGTGACATACTCACAATGGACAGCGATAAATCTCTACAGAAACGAGTTAAATACCTGCTGCCAGAGCCACTTGGTCTTGTCGATTTTGGAATTTTGCCATGCGCCCAACAGCACCCGTGGACTGAGCTGAGCCAAACCTTACTGATGATCCCATACCGCCTTATACCACTGGCAGAGCTCGACCGCCTTTCGACTCGGCCTAGAAACAAAGATGGATCCCAATCTTGCCATTTTACCTCCCTGGCGGTCTTTAATTTCCTCTTTTTCGGCAAAATATCATTTCTTGACTTCAGGTCTAGGCCCTGAAATGAGTGAAAACTCTGGCGTCCAGTTTATGGGCGCCAGGACCAAGGTAAGCCTTCATCGGTCGTGAAACGGGCGGGGCACCTGATCAGATCACCAAGAACCCAGCTAACGACATTCCTATTTCTCTCAGCGAACACATCGTGAAATGGCGACAGATAACGATGGAAGCGGCGATGCCACTTGGGAGCAGCATTTTCACCCCCGCCGCTCCGACTCTCGACCTGAATCGGCCCGCTTGCCACCCAGAAGACACCGAGATGGATTCGACTACCGACGGCCGGTGATGCTTTCGCCTAGAGATAACGTCGTGATCGACTTGACAGATGACCCGGACTCTCCTCCTCAACGAAATGTGACATCATTTCCCGGCCCTCTACATACCCCACATCCGCACCGTCCGAGGTTACGATTTCCACGAGATCTGATGAACCAAACGCCGCCTGTGGCTGATCACCCGACTGTGATTGATCTGGAAGCGGAGACAACAGGTGATTCGGTAAACGTTTCGCCGAACAATGGAGATGTTCAGATTGTTGGCTCTTCCTCCGTCAGGCCGAGACCAATAGAACCAAGATATCTCGACAACAATGGAATTCCAATGCACTTTCGACCCCACATACAGCCGTCTAGAATATCAGAACATGGGCGATCAAGAAGAGGGGCGCCCGCAAGGTCGTACTTCCACACCGAAGAGGAGCTACTCTCGTTCATGTCTGACACGATTCGCTTTGGAGTACCCAGCTTCGACTATAATCCACCTAGTCAGCCAACGCCCCGGCCTCGTCGATCATCGTATAAAGGGCTAGACCCGGCGCCGGAAGGATTCACTCGACTTTTGGCAGAAGATGACGTGCCTGTCTGCCCTAACTGCGGGGACGAGTTGGGAACCGGAGAGGGACTGAAACAACAGATACATATTGCAAAACCATGTGGCCATGTGAGTATTGTCTATCTTCAGACGAGGAAGCCTATTACAAAAACTCACAATTTCCTCAGGTCTATTGCGGCGAATGCGCTGGGAATCGGTCCATTTCAAAGTCCAAAAAGGCAACTTCAAAGACCAAGCCTTTCTCAAAGTGCCAGGTTGCAGGTTGTAATAAACCTGTGAGCAGCCCGACAGCCATGTACCACCTCTATCTATGATTTACCTTGGGCATTGATTTTGCGGGCACTCGTTTGCATTCTGGTGTTATGGCCCTTTTCTTTCCTCATTCCGTCGATACCCAAGATGCATTGAACCGGCAGGCGTTTTATAACGATTTATATCCAATCCAATTACGATTTATTCAGAACTTTCTTAACTTATACATGGCATTCTCTCGCGAGTTTGATAGCTCATCTATCATCTTACGCAGAGTATTACGAAATACATTACCCAATGGGTATATATTTTGCAGGCACATCTATAATGTGTTGTACATGGCGAATTTCCCCTACTAGGGCTTCCCTATTTCCGGTTTCCTGTTTCAGCTGCCGCATCTTTTATGAGGGCAGGCTCGGTGTTATCACGTGATTAGTCCGTGACCTAAATTATGTGGCAACGTTCACTTAACCGCTCCTACCTGAGTTATGTGTTGGGGGAGGGGGGGGTCAAAGCGATGTCAGATGTCACTTGGTAATACCGAACAGTTGCAATACCCCTCCTCGAGATTTACTACTAGCGAAATAAACTGCTACGTGAAAGCCGTATCAACAAACTGTTCTTGTTCTATGTTAAAGGGTAACCGGTTTTCTAGTAAGGTGAGCTGAAAAAATCATACACCCATCTATCCAGAAGTCAGCTATTAAATAATACTCTATGCCGAGGATACTCATGGTGAGTTGCATCAAGATATGATCGAATTCACCACCAGTATCCTGTACGACGGGGGACACACCATTACAGTTGACCGTAATCTAGGACTACCACCGAAGCTGCTTCATGTTGGTGCCAATGCTAATGACTCTTGGGGCTCTCAGACTGGCTGGTAAATATCGTTGCTAAGGATAGAGGGTTGACTGTGAGTCTCCACTTTCGGAATATCAGCCAAGTCATGTTTCGGTACTATACCCCTCAATATCATGATCTAGGAACTATACATATAAAGAGCACTTTATCTTGAGTAGCATGAATGCAACTATCGTATAAAGATTACATTAGGCCGTGCTCTTGGGAAATGTCGGCTACTGGCCTCTCGATTATCAAATGGAGAAATAATACATAGCCTTCACTTATGCAAAGTTTCCATTTCACCACTCGAGTGGTCTGTCCTAAGTACATTTCTGGAAAACTTGTTTTCCTCTGCTAGTTCCCTCTGATAGCTTGTCAATAGCCCAGGTACAGTAATGCCCTCACTTCTCTGCGATAATTCCCATATTCTCCAGGGGCGGACAAGTATGGAAATCTAGACAAGTGTATAGACGCGGTGTATGGATGGGTTTGATGGGACTGCCTGAGAAAATGAATTCTGAAACCATAGATGGAGTAGCGCATCAGCGGCGCTGATTCGTAGCTCCGGTCGCAATCGCAGCATGCGCTCTAGCAGATTGGTCCCTAAATACTCGACCCCGGACATCAGCTGTCTCAGATCTAGGGGCGAGTAAATAGGGAAAAGGGGGTCGAATCCTGGCAACTGACTGACGCCTGGCCAAGTATATTCAGACGGAGTACCCATCACTTGAAATATCTTGAGGAGCTGGTCGGTGTCGGTGTTGCCCGGAAACAAAGCGTGACCGGTGTGCATCTCAGCAATGATACAGCCCGCTGACCAGATATCGAGGCTGGTACTGTAAGAGCAGCTCCCCAATAGCACATCCGGAGGTCGGTACCAGAGGGTGACCACATCGTTCGAGAAAGTGCCGACTGGGATGCCAAAGTCGCGAGCGAGGCCGAAATCCGCCAACTTCAAACGTCCATCCCAACCAATAAGCAGATTCTGAGGCTTAAGATCCCGGTGCAAAACGCTCTTCTCGTGACAGTAGGCTATGCCTTTCAGCATGTCTTGTGCAAATGACTTGATAGTTAGGAGGTCAAGAGCGCCACCTCGGTCATCCATAAAGCGCTTCAAATCCTTGTCCATGTACTCCGACACCATCATGAGCTTTTCACCCGTGTAGAACACATCGTACAGAGCCAGAATGTTCTCGTGATTGAGCTGCTTCATCAGAGAGATCTCACGGATTGTAGTGGACGGGATCCCTTCTTCCGGGTCGAGGTGAATCTCTTTCAGGGCCACCAATTCATTGGTCAGATTGTTCCGACCTTTGAAGACCTAACAACATAATCATGAACGGATATTCCTACAGAAAGACCGAGAATTTTCCCTGGTATCAAGCTGTTGGGGGATACCCACCGTTGCATAGGCACCTTCACCAAGCTGGGGCCAAGTTAGCGGGGTCAAGTCAAACTCCTCATTATCCATTCATGGGGTACCTTCTCGCAGCCACCATATAATGATATGCATAGGGAATCAAAGAAGGCACGAACCTTTTCCAGTTGGTGATAGGACTTCAGGCCTTGAGGTATGATGGCAGCCATTTCGATTTCCTGTAATATGAGGTGAGAGAGGACGTTGAGACAAGTCAAATTAGCTAGACTGAGTGATAAAGATCGAAGGGCAATAATTTGAAGATCAGGTGTCCACGGATGTATGTCAAGCCGGACTTAACGAAATCCCACCCCCGTCGCTCCTTCCTACTCTGAGCACAGGGCAATTCCTTTAACTAAATTATGCACATGTACACTATGTATTTGACCTGGCTGTCGTGAAATGACAAGTACGCCAAGGTACCTTCTATCCATGGATGACTTGTGAGCCTCACAGGTCATCTGTGATTTCGTGGATTTAGTCATGTACATGTAGCTATGGCAGACGCCTGACGCACAGAGTGTTGGTCTCTTCGTAGGTCTTGAGCTAGAAGGAATAGAAGGACTAGAATCATAAAGCCTAGTGTTACAATGTATTACACTCATCCAGAATTTCTGCTAGATATGGTAACACTCCATATGTGAGGGCTGTCAGAACTGAGTAATCCTAAGGCACAGCTATATTATCCCGTAGATGGCGTGGTCAATAAGGCCTAGACAATATTACATGCCTGCTTGTTCAATGTGGGCATCGTTCAGAGTAAAATGAGCCCATAATACAGAGTTGTGCGGGCCGGCCCGGTGTGGAGTTTGTTGTGGGTCACAGTCGAATCCAAGGAGATCCATGGATGTAGGTATGATGGAAGATTATGTTGGGAAGTTCAAATTCAAAGACATCTTGTTAGATTATATGTATATCCCAAACGGGGATGGATCAGCTGGGGAATTCCTAGGGGACGCGTCAGTACGCAAAATCATAGACAAGTTGGATTGTAACCGGACCAAGCAAGTCGCTTTTGTTGTTCAGTCCTAGATACTTAGTTTCACTCACCTTCACCTCATTTTATCATACAGAAGATGGGCGCCTAATTTACACTTTTCGTTCATTGGATGAACTTACATTGTTTGTCTAGCAGAACAATATATGGTGCAGGCCGTTTCATTTCATAACCTAGGCATTGACAGGGATTCCCCCTTTTTTTCTTAATATTATTTAAGATTACTAGCTACTGTGGAACCTATAATCAGGGTCTTTGTTGACTTCAATCCAGCCACCCTTCTATGTTGACTTCGCCCGGAACAACTGCCGAAAACATGCCTCTTCCACCCAAAAGTTCTCACAGTGCTCCCATTTCAGATACAGTACCATAATATATGGTCATAATCAAATCTGAGTCTATCACAGTATTGATTTGATAGGCAATCGAGAGGATAGTCCGACCTTTCAGCCGCTCACCGGGAAGTTCCGTAAAAATGTCTAGCATGGAAATAGCATAGTTTCTTGCTCCTAAGTGCACGGCAGATCATGATCTTTCTATCGTCACCTCCATTTACACTATGTCGGATTACTTGTTGAGTACCAGAGCAAAATTCGGCTTCATAGAGCCACTGGCTGAGTATGGTCAGTTGCCCCATATCTCTATACTAGTACCCAGTGATAGTATTATAATACAAGAGCAGTTGTCAACGCGGCACTACGTATATATAGCATCAAATCAAATTCCTCTCCACAAGTACTTATTCCAAGACTAATAGGACTCAAGACATACTTCGCTCTCGCGAAGTTCCTCCACCTGTGTGACATCTTCAACAAACGTAGCGCCATACTCTCTCATCATCTGTATCTTCTCCTCCATATTCATCGCTAAACTCATTCTCCCAAAATCTTTTGGAAGTTGCCTGTAACTCTCATATCTCAACACCCACACACCCACTCCATCCGTCGGCCAACCGAACACTAGCACCTTTTCTTCTTCCTCCGTCATCTCCCTCGCGCCTAACCGCGCTTCCAGCATATCCTCCCTACTCGACCACCACTTAGCACCAGTCTGTCGCATGAGATTACAGAATCTGTCTTCTTCGTCGACACTAGGAGAGCGCTGCGACTCATGAGAGCGGGAGAGTGATAGGAAGAGCATGTCGAGAAGGTCAGCCTCTTTGACGAGAACTCCACCAGTAGAGGGGTAGCCGTAGACAACGCATCCTCCTGGGCCGGTGCCGAATTCGGTCCGTTCAGTAGTTGATAGACGAGGTAGCATGGAGCATGAGGCCCAGTCGTTCCGCGAGTCCCCTATTACTGTTCTCTGATGGAAATAATTCGAAATAGGATTGATATTGATAGGAAATATACGGCCAATGGTTTGTTGGCTGAGAGTCGATAGAAAGGTAGAGATGATGGCGACGAGCATGATATTGAACCTCCAAGTCATGTCTCAATAAGGCTACAAACAGGATAAGACCGAAGCTCCGAATGAGCGCGCTCTCAGGGTTATGCAGATGACCGTTTCAACACATAGAGGAATCGGGGGAAGCTCCCTTCAACCGATTGGGAAGCGACCTGGATATATACAAGTATAGGATAGGGCCCTACGGCGGCAGCAGTACGAATAGATATCGGCCGATCAATAAACCTAGGCACCTACTAGGCATAGCGAACCCGAGCCACAGGTGGCAGTAAACGGGTCGCGTGTGGGCTTTGGTGCACGTGACGCCAAGACCGACCACGGTGGGCGAGCGGCCTAAAACGGCGTCAAAAGCGGCCCTTTCTGGCCTCCCAATCACCGTGTCATCCATAATTATAGTAGTTAAATTATCGACCTATTTCAAATGTTCTACTGATAATATAAGGGGATTAGTTAGCGCCGTAATTATTCAAGGGAGTAAAATTAGGCTAGCCAGCTCTTGTCACGAGAATGATTGCGATCCCGAGCCTCCTAACCAGCCTAGTATAACTAAACAGTCGCTGGAAAATTAGCCTTGATATTACAACAACTAAGGCACCAAAAGTACCATCTAAGATCAGTAAAGACGGTCTTATGTAGGTTGCTCCGGCTAAAGCCTAAAGTTGCGTGGATTAGTACCTGAGATGAAATAAGACTGCTGGTTTACTTATAGCTCGCTACTTCTATCCTCCACTAGGTTAAACTCCTGAGCTCCCATTTATTGTATTAAGTCTAAGAGAAATAATTGTAGTTTTAGTGTGGAGACTAGGTATATACCACCCCTTTAAGCTATTTTTTGTTAAGAGGTGACTCTTCGACAATGATCGGTCTAGTGTACTGTTGAGTATCTATGGAGATTACTGGTAATACGCCATTCTAACCGACCTAGTAGATAATGTTCCTTCTATGTGGTTTATTTCGCCTAGCGTGTAACCTTTGATACAAAATCAAAGAGTGACACACTTGACCATAGATATAGGTGGTTAATCTTGAGTACAAGTTGATCATTGCACACTTGTCGTCTTCAAATTGATGTAGGCTCGAGCTTGGTATGCATAAAATATGGGTCTCAAAACACCATTGGCTTCCATGTAGCAAATAGACAAGAATGAAGAAATAAAACAGAACCCAGGTCAATAGTACAGTAGGTTGCGGTGGGATACCTGATAATCACCACCGCAAAGAGAACAAGAACCGTAAAAAAAATAAAACCCCTCCATCTAGACACCCCGAAGATCACCGTGGTATGGTGACCAGATACCACGCACACTCTCATTCAAACTTGTAACCGGCTTCTTGACCCGCTTCAACTTCTCTCCACTGGCTTCCTTGAGGAGGTTTGCCTTCTTCAGGATTTCATGGGGTTCCAAGTTCCGTACACAAACAGGCTTCTCGCGGCCATTGATGTAGATGCCCTTGATCAGAGGATGCTTCTGGGGTCGGGGGGAGACACGGATCTCAATCTGAGGGTTTTCGCGGGCGAAGGTGGGGAGGGTTTTCTCCAAGAAAGCACTGGGACATTCAATGTCAGTACGGATGTTTTTGGAAAGGCAGTTTGCACCGTTGAGGATACACCTACACCATGCCCTTTGAGCTGCCCGCCCAGTTGCAGTAATGGAAGTCAAGGCGCTTGCATTGTAGGATGAAGGCACCGGCGCCGTTCTAAGCAGATCACCTGGGTCAGTTCGGCAATTGGATACCAATGATTTGGATTCCACATACCCTGGCCGCCGTAGACGTTCTAATTCCGCGCAACGGCATCGTTCTAGTCGTTAATAGTTATCGTCGTAGTTTACGAGTCGCTATGGCTCTTCCGGGCATTTTCTGGCACACGTGATTTGCCAGGGCGGTGAGTCATGTGCACCAATGGCGTGTGCAGCGACTTCGATCATTCGACGCTAAGACCAGAATTGCGACGCGAAGCTCCCACTCCTGAAGGTTCACTTACCTTCCACGCATTATCTTTACTTTGCGTCCTGACTTTGTCTCCATTAGGTGCACAACTCAGTATGACAGATAAGCTACCTCCGCCACTTTTGGCGCTATTCCAGCCCCGCCCACCCCTTCGATATCTGCCTCCAAGCGATCGCGCACCAGATGACTGCCAAAAGAGCACCATCTCTGGAGTTGCCCAGTTCCTTGCCGATGCTAAAACTTTCGCCGATGAAGTTCCATACAATGCAACTGAAAGCTGGGTGCAGCGCAAATTGCGTGAGAAAACCGAGAAGAAAGAGCAGTTAGAGAAGCAGATAGCGGAGGGACTGCAAAACTGTACGGTTAACCTTCTTTTCGCATTTATTTTTATATTTCAAGAGGCTAATCGAGCTATGTTTTACAGATAATCCGGACAAAGATCCCCAAGCTCGAGGTGACCCATTCAGGACTCTCTTTGTTGGACGTCTCAGTTATGAGGCCAAAGAGGCCGACCTGGAACGAGAGTTTGGCCGATTCGGCCCCATTGAAAGAGTATGTCTTATTCTCCTTATTATTTGTGGAGATAACCAACGCTAACATTGTGGTGACAGATTACCATTGTCAAAGACACAGTCTCAGACAAGAAAAAGAAACCCCACCGAGGCTATGCATTCGTTGTATTCGAGCGTGAGAAGGACATGAGAGGTATCACCACCATGCCAATTTGCTTGGCACTAATCCCACTTAATTCCGTTTTGCGGTAAGAAATGTTGCTGACACCAGTTCTTTCCCCAATATCAGCGGCCTACAAAGAAA